AGTTGTTGGCGCCAACACCCCCCCCCCCCCTGTTTCTTAGAGGGGTTAAAACGACAGGGTGGGAGCAGGTGTGGCCCCGTAAGGTGCAGGAAGCAGAACCCACCGATGTGTGGTGCGCTATGCTCGTCACAAACACATCCCTACTCACCCCCCCCCCCCCTCTCTGTCTTTAGGCCATTCCCAAAAGGGGGGACATGGGGACATTACTCGATCTAGTGCACAGTAGAATTGTAAATGGGCTGATCCAACAATGTCATGCTCATAACTGTGCCTGAACTACAGCTGGGAACAGCTGCTTTTTCTTTCCTAATCCTTACTATCGTCATTTTTCTCTACTTCTTTTGTAAGTTTGTCACACTCTTGTGACCCGTTATTTCCGGGGTGCCTTGATAGTCGAAGCAGACTTTGTGCTGTTGAAGCCAAAGAGGGGAGCAGAATAAGTCTGGTTCCCTGTTAATACGGAGTGCCCACAACGGCTGGATCGGGCTGATCGCCCGACTCGATCGCCTGAAACTGAAAACAAACACGTTTGTTTTTTAGGCGATCGAGTCGGGCGATTGGCCCGATCGGCCGATCCCAGCCGTAGTGGGCACCCCGTATAAGACTTCTCTGTTGACACTCACCCTTTGGCGCTCATATGACCTTATGCAGTTGCGAGCGCCGTAAAACCTTTACTAAAACAAACACCCCTACTCTCACTGGAATGGGTGTCTAATCTGCCTAACACCTCTACTGCTTTTTATCAACACACCTTCTGTGGCTGAGAAGATATTGATAGATGTGTGACAGGACATAAATCTCCAACAATTTAACGGACCCTTATAAATATATACTTTTATTGTATGTAGAAGAGCAGTAAAAAGCAAAGCTTACTGGATTTACACCTAGCTGTCTTTCTTTTATTGTCTTTACAGAACACAAGCTTACAAATTGTGTATCGCGAGTGGTTGGCCAGAGCTGTGGTGTCGCTTATGCTCCTTCTTTCCTATTAAACAACTATTGTCCTAATCTCTTAATTTTTCTGGGCATAAAGATCTGGAAAAGAAACAAGGAAATGTTATCCAGCCCCGGGTTATAGACTTGTATTGATTGTTATACATGCACTTTACTTTTGCAATATCCAAAAAAAAGTATAAAATAAACGAACTGTCCTGCATAATAATTGTGTTCGACGGCAGTTCTACATTCAAGTATTCAAATGAACATGCTTGTGTGTTTGTGTTTGTGAGTCTGCGTGTTTGTATGAGTGCATGTCGTGTGTGTGTGTGTGTGTGTGTGTGTGTGTGTGTGTGTGTGTGTGTGTGTGTGTGTGTGTGTGTGTGTGTGTGTGTGTGTGTGTGTGTGTGCTTCGTTGTGTAGGTGCGTCACTCAGTGTGCATAATATATATATATATATATATATACATATATATTTATATATACGTGGGGGTTCAATAAGTCTTTGTATGAAGGAATCATGATAGAGTAATGAAATTTCGCCAGACTTAAGACAATTTCTTTGGAACACACCATGCAAATTTTCGGAAAAATTCGACTATAACAAGGCACTATTCAGTCAGCTGTTCAATGAAACCATGCATAAAAACGTTTGGTTTTTCTTTGCTGAAGCTGTGCCACGGAGCCTGTTGAGTATCGCCCAGTTATCAAGTTTTTACACTTGCGAGGAAAATCCCCTTCAGACATTTTTCAGGAAATGGCCAAAGTTTATGGTGACAAATGTCTTCGTTATAATACTGTGACATACTGGGTAAGAAAATTCAAATCTGGATTCATGTCGGTGATGGATGAAGATCGCGACGGGCGCCCATCCTTTGTTGTAACAGAAGAGAATGTATCCATAGTGAAGAAACTGGTTTTACAGGACCGACGTATAACAGTTAAACAGTTCTCAGGTGAAACAGGAATCAGTGTAGGGTCAATTGAAACGATTCTCCATTACCATCTTAACATGAATAAGGTGCCTGCGCGGTGGGTACCCCGCCTTTTGACAAGTGAGCAAAAGAAGCAGAGGGTTGAGTCCTGCAAAACTCTCCTTCGAATTGAGTCCTATGACACAAATTTCTATAAAAGCATAGTGACTATGGATGAAACATGGATTTATCATTTTGATCCCGAACAAAATGTCCTCCATGCAATGGAAAACCCCTTCTTCTCCCTCACCAAAGAAGGCAAAGGTAGAACTGTCAAGTGGGAAGGTCATGCTGTGGAGTTTCTGGGATTGTGAAGGTATCATCAAGACTGACTACCTGGAAATGGAAAAAACAGTCGTAGTTATTATTCGGGATTGCTGATAAAACTGCGGTTCGAACTGGTTGGGGGGGCTCTCGTGGCCTAGAGGTTAAGGTGTTGGCCTCTCATTCAAAGGTCCCGGGTTCGATTCCGGGTAGCGACCAAAAAATTTTCTTCTCTAAAATTGTCTCCTTTCGCATCCTTTCCTGATCTCTGACAATTTTCTGTTGTCTGCTTTCATTTCCACTTTCTGCCCCCACCCCCTCACCTCCTTTGCCCCCTCCTCTGGGCTCCTGACTCTTTCTGCAGCCTTTCTACTGCTACTTCTTGGCTCCTCCTAACTGCTGTCTTTCTGCCACACCCCTGATCTTCTGGTAGGAAAGATCTACACCTAGCCTTCTCGGACAAGGGCGAAAAATCTCGGAGGGCCCGTGTGAAAGTTGCGCACGTTAAAGATCCCTTGGTGGTCTAAAATCGATAAGAGTAGGCTTCGGCCGCCACCCGGGCAAAATTCAAAATTTCCTACCAACGAAAAAGTATTAGGTGTGTCCCGCGCGCTCATATGACCTATGCAGTTGCGAGCGCCGTAAAACCCTATACTAAACAATAAACAAACTGGTTGGGAAAAGGCGTGGAAATCTTCGTAATGGGGTCCCCCTACTGCATGACAACGCCCCAGAGCACAGGGCACAACAAACAGCCCAGACAGCAGAACACAGCGCGGCTTTGAAATCCTTCCATACCCAGCTTATTCACCAGACCTAGCCCCTTCAGACTTTTTTCTGTTTCCTAATCTAGAAAATTCACTCTAAGGACGCCGTTTCCATGACAACGAGAACACCATTGAAGCTGTTGAAGACTGGATATAGGGGCCCATTCTGGGTCTTTTTTTTCCTCAAGGACTTTTGAAGGTCAAAGATAGGTGGCAGAAATGTGTTACTCTCCATGGTGACTGTGTAGAGATGTGTGCCAAGTTACAAAGCTATATCTTTATTCCTTTATATTTATACCAAAGACGTATTGACCCCCTTTCGTATGAACGAGCGATTGATCGAGTTAAAAAGTGGGACAGACAGACAGACAGACAGACAGACAGACTGACTGACTGACTGACTGACTGACTGACTGAAAGACAGACGGACAAACAGACAGACAGACAGACAAACAGACAGACAGACTGAACCAGCGTCTGTGATGTTATAGATACGTTGCTGTCGCACTCACGAGACTCATGCTCGATTCCCGAGTGGGGAGAATTAAAATTTTTATCGAGTATCTCGAACTTTCTATTGGGATGTTGTATCTTTCTCAGCCCAGGTTGGCCCTGACATGTAGGGTCGGAAGCCTGCCTACTTAAAATGACCTAAATTGGGTCGGTGAGTGCGTAACAACACCTACAGAAAAAAATAATTAGAAAACAGACTGACAGACAGACAAACAGACAAACAGGCAGACCGACAGACAGACAGACAAAGAGAGAGTGAGCCGGAGAGAGAGAGAGAGAGAGAGAGAGAGA